AACTGGCCAAGGCTCCATTGCATTGTAGCTCTGGAGTTCAAGTATGCAGAATTGCATCAGTGTGTAAAGTCTAACAAAAAACCTGTTCGAACACCTACTGAAATGTCACTATCAGTTGCCATACACATATATATTTCATTTTGAGTCCAGGGTGGTAATATTTGGGTTTTACTGTGTTGCGTCATAATCCTTGGCCTACATCAAATCCTTGGCGTACACTTAAAAATGCAAGAAACAGTGCTGAGACTTAGGTATATGGGTAGGCTTGGTAATAATCGAACAAAACCGCAGTACCACCGGCTCGGACGAAACTGCATATTAGTTTCAGTCTATTGGTCTGGATAGATTACCACTTTTGACTTAACAATTAAAAACAGTCTCGCTATTATGTAGCGCTAAAATGTTTAGAATCCTGGCCTAGTTAAACAGTCTGTTCGGCTGCTGTAAGTAAAGAGAAGTACAATACCTTGGGTTAGTTATATGTAAGTCTAACTAAAGGTTGTTTTACTGATAAATTGGTTACCTGTTGCTTATTTGATTGGAAACAGATGTGTTTTACTTTCTCATTTAAGAGAAACGAAGCAGGGTATCTATGGAAGCCTGAATCTTTCGGTTTTGAATGTGATCGATTTTAGCTGTGCATTGCGAATTGCTCATTTGTTATATCTTATCAGTCAAAAACAAACAGCAAAATTTTCACCCCCTTTTTCCCCTTTCCCTCGATGCGCGAGAATGAACATCGAATTTTGCTTCATTTTATGTCTCTTTCCTTGATAATATTATTTTCTCGGGACACAGTAGACGGGAAGTTTGATCCTCATTCCGTTCGCACCCCACAGTAAGAACAGTTGCGCATACTGCTTTTAGAACTGCGGTATTAACGTATATTCCTATTGATGCAGTTAGTATGTGAATATTCTTTATAAACTGAATGGTCAGCGAGCGAATTGTAATTTTCTACCTGCACAGCTAACTTTGAATGCCGAATTTTCACTTTTAGAGGTTTGCCTATCTTGCGGAATTCATCAGAATTTAATGCGGAGCGAGATAAAATTGTTTGCCTGTTCATTTTTGGAGGCACAGAGTGAGTCGAACGATTTCAATAGTGGAGTGGCACTTTAGACAGTGCTGATATTTCCCTAAGTTAGGATCACAGATTTCCTTAGCATTTAAGGTGTTTCACGTAAATGGACAGATACTCATTCTTACTGCCGCTGAGTACATTCGTCTGGTTTCCTAATGAATCGCTTTTTCCGCGATTTGAGCTTTTTCTTTGATTTACCATCGTTTTCTAGTCTTGCTCTGTACCATGTTCTTTTCTCGTCACTTTGAAAAAACGTCGTTCATTTTTGTTCACTAACGTCACTATGGCAGTCTAACGTCAGACTTTTTGTTTGGAATCACTTTCCTTATATTTAACTGTTTCATTTATAGGCACTGATTGTTCAATTTGGCGGCTTCTTCTTTTCTACAGCAGCCTTGTCGGCAGAACAGTGGCTGTGGTGTATTTTTCTAGGAGTTGGAGAACTGATATGGGGGCAGGTATGTATTTTATTAAACTTCTTTCTTGAATTACAGTTGATTCACAAAACAATTTTCAACTGTTCAGAGGTAAAACGGGCGGAACTTAGAGAGGTAACAGTGACGTACCAGTTACCAGCTGTCGATGAATCTTCATCGAAGCTTAAAACGTTTCGGTTATTTTCCCTTCTTTTCTCATTGACACCGTTGTTTCTTAAATCCGATTTTAAATTATATAGCTCAAGTCAACTTAGGTAATCACTTCGATACCTTCGAAGAAATTGCCAAAGAAGCTGACAGCATTTTCGGAAGGTACCGAAATTCCAGCAATTTTCGAACGGCCAAAAGACGAGGATGAAACGGAAACTATGGAAAAGAGATCTGGCCAGATTTTATGGCTTCGTGGTTTGACAAGACTTCAGACGCAGGTAAGTGTGCATACTCTCGATTATGTCCTGTCACGCGCAGGTAGGTGGTCTGTGACAGGGTTGTGC